GCCTCTATGTATTTACGCCGCAGGCGAGACAGACAAACAAATTAGTAGCGCACAGGCAGACGCACAAATCATTTTAACTTGATTGAATGAAAATGATATGGAATACATAGCCGAGAATCAGAAAATGGCTGTGACCGACTCGATACTATTGGTCCAAAACTTCATTTCAACTTGTTTGGATGAAAATTTCCTTGACTGTAAAGGAAAGGCTCGTCTCGAGTTAAAATGTATGTATGCTTGTATGTATATCTGCAGTCTAGATACTAGCGACACATGAATTATTGGGACAGACAGACACACTTATCTGCGTCCTAACGCCCGGGAATAGTGAACACATTGTGTGTGTTGTGTGACAAGGGAAAACCTTTGAGAAACGACGAGAAAATCAGGGTAAGTACAGGGAAACTGTTGAATTCTATTGGGATATCTATAGGGCTAATGTCCGGTGTGAAAGGATCAAGATTCAAGGCGAAATCCTGGTGGATCAGGGTTCAGTTGCACTCGAATCAGTTGCATCAGTTGCAGTCGAAGCAAGCGCCGAAACTAGTGTGAAATTCTCTGTCGAATGGTATATATTTGAACTGAGAATAAAATAGTACTCGACGTTCGAAGTGGAGCGAGACAAGCGTTTGTGTAAAAGATAGCTCCGATAGAGGTCTGCGGGACGGTCCCGGCCCGCGCGACTTTTTACGGGACCGGGACCTAAGATCTGCGGGACGATCCCGGTGCTGCAGGATGTTCCCGGTCCCACGCAGCTTTTAGTGGGACCGAGACCAGATTGTTTTGAAACTAGCCTTGTATAGAATATAAAAATTTCCTAGCTTTGGTGCTTCTTTGTATGTAGGCACTAATTCTGCGAGAAAAAACTCGCACAAAATTCTAAAATTTCTCAATTAATACCAGCCACACATGCTGTCGCACGCCACATTACAACGCGCTGACTTTCAAACTACCTGCGTTACTTTAAAAAAGTATTCACGGGACCGGGACCAAAAAGATTTGATCCCGCAGATCTCTAAGCTCCGATTATTTAATCGTAAATATGGCTTTTTTCTTTCGAAATCTGACAAGAAATTAGTGTATCTGTTGCCGATCTAATCTTGTTATTGGTCTTCGAAATGAGAGTTATAGCAAGTAGTAACAGAACTCGCAGACAGAAATGTATGATTCAGAACAGGTTAGAATTTCGGGTAAGTAATCATGTGAGCAACGGGAAGCATCGTGCCAGTGAGGTGTGCAACGAAAATAGTTCAATTCATGATAAGTGATCACTAAGAAAAAATTGCTTCGGCGTGATATGGAAGAAATAAAAGAATTATTATATAGTGCGCTTTTAATTTAAGCAGGTTTTTATTTTTTTTTAATTAAAAATTAAAAAGAAATAAAAACCTGTTTAATTAAACAGGTTAAAAATATTCTTCTCTTATGCAACGTCCTATTTTTGACATGGTACAGTGCGTTTCGTCAATTTCTTGCTCATGTACATTTTCGTTTTTTAAAGTAAGGGGTAGGAATATCATTCTTTTTGCATCGTCATGGTATATTATATAGTATTACGATTTGAAAGCGATCTCATCGTAGACGATACACAAAATGCAAAAGTCTATATTATTCTTTGGTGCTGTTCTTCTTTTTGAAAGTTTTGACAAAGATAATGATTGGGCTTCGTTGGATATAATGTATGCAAATATTTTTGTAATTGAAAGAGAGAGATGAGTTAATGGTGGAGAAGGATGACAGAGAATAGCCAATGAGAGGAGAGGTTATATTTCATTACATCTCCCGCCACTGCGAAAATGAGTGCTGCGATATCCTTCAGTCGTATTTCTTGTTTGTGAGCCTTTTCAGATCCGTTGGTAGCGATGATAATGGTTGTTGTTAAGGTGATAGTAGTGGTGGAAGTGTGTTCAACTTGCAGTAAGTCGCGTATGTTGTTATATTGCTATAACAAACAATCAATTCAATACCTGGTACGTCTTGGAAGAAAATTACTTACACGAGCCGAGTTAACGAAGACGAAGATAGCGAAAAGAATAAACATTGTGAATTTGAGTGACAATACGTATGTGTCCACTCACCAACCCGTTTAGCCAGCGTGGTGTTTTATCGGCTATAAACCCCCATGAAAGTACATAAGCTCAGTATTGATGCCGGCTCGGTCGTCGCCCGGACAAACAAGGACCGCGTTTGTGATTTTGGCAGCGGGTCACAAATGATAAATAGGCTACAGTTGCCAACCCTCAAAGACAACAAACCAAACCACAAAGCTCCAAACTTTGTAAATATGCATATCTGTACTTACAACATAAGAACATTCAGAGAAGAAGAGAAAAGGAAAGAATTCGAAGAAGAAATATCAAAAATAAAATGGGATATTATTGGTCTAAGTGAAACAAAATGTAAAGGTGAACATCTAATTAAATTAAAAAATGGTCATACACTCTATACATGTGGAACGCCAATAACAACAAACATGGCATAGGATTTTTGATATACAAGAAACTTGAAGATAAAGTAATAAGTATAAAAGGTATAAATGAAAGACTAGCTCAATTAACTTTGAAAATAAATCAAAGATATAAAATGAAAATAATCCAGGTATATGCACCAACAACAAGCCATGAGGATCAAGAAGTCATTGAAATTTATTATCAAATCGAAAACTTACTAAAAGAAGACAAAAGCTATTTCACCATCATAATGGGTGACTTCAACGCAAAGATAGGTAAGAAAGAAGATAACAAAGAAACAGCAATGGGAAATTTTGGAGTAGGAGATCGAAACGATAGAGGGAAAATGCTGATTGATTTTGCCCTCAAAAACAACCTACAAATAGCAAATAGTTTCTTCTACAAAAAATCCCATAGAAAATGGACCTGGAAAGGTCCAAATAACTGTGTCAAAAATGAAATTGATTTTATCCTAACCAATAAAATGCATATCTTCAAAAATGTTGAAGTTTTAAATTCAATCAAAACAGGAAGTGATCATAGAATGGTTAGAGATAAAATAAGGATTAATACAAAAAATGAAAGAAGAAAATTAATCCTTAAAAAGAAACCACAAATAAATAATGACCTACTCACAACAAAACAAAATGAATTTGAAACAAAGATTGATCAAATGATAAAAACACAAATCAACATCAAAGAAATGAATATTGATGAAATAAATGAAACTCTAACAAAAATAATTGTTGATACTGCAGGAAAACTTGCAAAAGAACCAAATAGTAATTCCCAGAATTTCTGGGACAATTTGCTCGAAATTTGTGAGTGATTTAATGCTTTTAATAATAACGGTATGTAAGCCTCTTCTCATTCTTTCTTTTATAAAATATAATGTCAACAACGCTTATTATTCACTCA